GAATTAAATCGGGGCTTGATGAGACCGTCTGAGGATCACTAGAAATATTATAAACAGTCATCTCTGTACCACAGTTTGCTTTCAGTAAACACCGACAGCATTCACTGTTAGCATAGCACATCCATGTTAGCAGTGTATAAATGGATGGTTTAGCATATTAGCACAGGTATCAATAAAGGACTAACGTATTAAATACTTTTACTAACCTCAGGCAGATGGACAGGCGCTCTGCAGGTGGGATTGAGCGCCTGTAATTGGTGTCTAGGCGGGCGATTCTGGGACCGACGCAGGACAGCAGGTCCTCAAACTGGCCGAGTGAACGACGGTGATAGTGCTGGAATCGGCCGTCATCCAGGCGCAGCTCCTGGAGCAAGTGGTGAAACTCACCAAACTGCTCACGCCTCTGGAGGACCTGATGGACCCAGGTACGGCGAGGATGTCTTTTACGCCGCTACTCTGCTCTCCTCAGTACATAGAGAAGGGAGACTCTCTCTTCAAGCGCTAGCTCGACAGCTGCCATCTTGCAAAGATACCGGTCTGGCACAACTTCCTCCCACATCCCTACCACATTTCCGGTTCACGCGCATCAAAATATGATATTTTGGGGCGCGATGGATTTTTCTTGGACACGCGTAGAGGGTGCGAATGTGCACGCGTCAAGTTAGGGGCATTTGGGGCTTTTTTCACGCGCCCATCGCGTTCGGTGTGAACACACTGTAAGACTGAAGCAGGTCCAACCTTATAACCAATAGGGGCTCCAACCCCAAACAATAACCAAATTCCCTAATATACTAAAAGCAGTCCAACTGCTTTCCACGGTCCAACCGTATTAAATCCTTTAGCGGTCCAACCGCATTCAATCATTTAAATCCTCAGTACTGTCATGAGATTTTCATCAAAATCAAACCAGACATTCACCAGTAATTTCAGTGAGTAGACTTTAATTTGTAATGTCCAATTTGGCACACTTTGGAAATAATTCAACAGGTAGTGCCTTACCTTTGGATAAGCCGGCTTATGCCCACTCACTTCGACCACTGGCACTCATGTCTGCCCGTCCGACCACCTCAGACCACCGAATTTCTCCGTCTACACCTCCAATTCTCTCCCTCCTCAACCACCGGACGAAGCCCCCAAATGTTAAGGTTCAAATATTGAGGAAGGAGAGTACAAACAACCAGGTCCAGAAGAGCTTGGTCAAACAATTGATTTTAATGAAATACACGCGTGGGAAGACCAGCTCCGTTCGCAGACAGGGCTGATCTCCGACTTAATCAAAGCATAAACAGATATTTTATACCATCAGGGCTTAAATTTAATGACGCCCCCTCAACGTCAGATCCATTTCATACATAGGTCAGATCAAAACCACAATGACTTTTAACAGTTTAAAAAGAACATTGTCTTCATCTTCATGGCAGGTACTTCCTGTCACTGCCGGATGCTCGCTTATCATCTTGACACATCAGCAGCAGTTCTGCGACAAACTGCTCTTTTGCAACCCCGAGCAAAACATGATTAAACTTTCACCTATAAATGATTCTCTCTAACTGAGTGTGTGTGTGTGTGTGTGTGTGTGTTAACCACAATTGCACCCTATTTCACCTCGCCGACTAGCTCCTGACCTCTCACCAGACAGAGAGACAGAAGCCACTCTCATATATGTAATAACCGAATTGAAACTATGTATATGTTGAATAAATGTTTTAATCAGGAACCTCTACTAAAAGCTTAATCAAAGAATATAAAAGTATAAAAGACAATTTGAATAACCTAGTTATTCACATAGCCTCGTCCAAACAGCTCCTCAGAATAACCTGCACTTAGACTCTGCTTTCGGTTTCACTTCTGTAAAAGGCACACTCTGCAAACCTGCAATTTCCTGTCAGCCTGCAACTTAGTCTTTCTGAAAGACACACACACACACTGTTTAAACATCTGAATGCAATATCAATACTGTAGATTATATTATTAATGCAATGGTAATGATGATGATTATTAACAATAGCAGCAAAATAATTTCCCTGATCTCCACAGCTACAAAAATATCCGTTCGGAAAGACGGAGCGCGCACGACCATACCCGGCTGATGGCACTCCCGCCCCGCCGCATCATCGGGTTAAACCAGCACCGCCGACAGAACGACTGAGAGTGCAGCTGGCACAAAACACGGATCGCTGGATGGCCAGTTATTCATCAATAATATGTAGCAAAACCAAAATGTGTGGTAGCATTTCTTCAAAAGAATAAACATAAAAATATCGTAAAGTCCAGTGACAAACAACATTAGTAATAGTGTATTTATTTCCACATAATCAGAACTTTTTATTCCTTAAAAGTCCCCAACAGTTCCAAAAATGTGGCCTCAGTCAGGCTCTAGTTAAAAATTCAAAACATCTTTTTTAATTTGCAGCACCGACTTATTATACAGCTCGTCAAATATAGTTCCAATTTTAACAACGATTCGAAAGACACCAAAAAGCACACAGGAACACCAAACTGAGTAAACAACACTGTTCCAGCCTGGTGCTGCATAATTTCCCAAACATTTTGCCAGCGGGAAATCAGAATTCACCAGGAAAACACAATTATCCCGAGCAGTTGTTCCTCATGGATAGCCACATACGGGTGACCGCACAGCAGCAAACAACCACACTTCGTGGTGGTAATCCCGTCATCCTGTTAATTCACTTTAACACCATCTGTAAGTCAGATGTATTCATTATTTCCACCAGTCTCCTGGACAGGAGCTTTAAAATTTACAGAGCGTCCCAGTGAGGAGTCTTCAAGTGAGGCTTCTGGGCACTGCAGAGAAACAGAACAGAAATGAATTACAAATTAATTACATATTAAAAAGTACCTTTTAGCAGCAAATAATACACTCATAAACCAAAGTTAAGTTTAAAATTTAGCCATTAAGAGATTTTCAACTACATAAAGATAATAATAATCACAAAACGTTAAACAGATTTGGAGTTCAAAGTTATCATTTTAGTTACCACAGCGGGTAGCTTCATGCTTAATTTGATACAGCTGTTTACCCATCAGCATCAAATGTGTCTCCTCCTTGGATCAAACCAGGGAACTTGTAAATGTGTAAACTATACAACTATGAAGCCACTAATTATTTGCAGAGGAGGCTACCCCCCCCCCTCTGTCCCCTTCTGGCTGCCTCTGCCTCAATTTTCTAACCTGGTGCTCCATCTGTGGCTTTTCGGCAGACTCTGGGACCATGGCGTTGTTTTTTTTTTGGGGGGGGGTGGTCTCGTAGCCATTTCGGGTTTCAAAAAGGGCAGTTTTGATTTTTTGGAAGGAGACGCTCTTGCGACTCATCGAGTGACGCCACTGACCAGCTAATCGGTGGCACGCACTCTGACGGCGTCACATTTTAGTACCTGCTCGGATTGCTTGGAACCCCAGTCGAGCAGTGGTACCAGGTACTATCACCTAAAACTTTGCTGAGTCAATCCCAATAGGTACTAATGGAAAAGAATCTGCCTTTCAGATTGCTGATTGCATCTAACAATGCGTATATTCGGGTTAACATTTGTTTTCGACAAATAAGGCTTAAACCTGCTGGAATAAGTGAAGATCGCGAATAACACCTTGTGTATGCCATTTCAGGTTCGCCACCTCTGACGAGCCGTGGGAAGTACCGGAGTGGTTCCTCGATGATGAACGGAAACACCGGAAGAGGCCGGTGCCGGTCACCAAGGAGATGGTGGAGGAATACAAACAAAAATGGAAGGAGATCAATGCTCGGCCAATCAAACGAGTTGCTGAGGCCAAGGCCAGGAAGAAGAGAAGGGTAAAACACTTGTAGCCCGAGGAGCTTTTCGAAGTAATCGGTGTATTTCCGAATGTATTAATTCCGCTGTTTCTTTTCAAGACGTTGAAAAAAATGGAGCAGGCCAAGAAGAAAGCAGAAGCGGTTGTCAACACAGTGGACATCTCTGAGAGGGAGAAGATGGCTCAGCTGAAGAGGTATGTTGTCACATCTGTGGGGCTGCGAAGTAGGGCTGGGTATCGTCACTGATTTCTAGAATCGATTCAATTCCGATTCACAAGGTCCCGAATCGATTCGATTTGAATCTGGGAAATTTTGACAGTCAGAAATATTATAATTCAGATCAGTACATTTACATATTTTTGTATCTATAAAAAGGAAGCTGACACACGCAAGACTTTATCAAAGGTGTGAGCATCACAGCAGATGCCTTTGTGTCAAAGTAGCTGAAGATAAAACACAGAAAAACATGAAGGTGATTTTCCTGGCCTGGGATTTTATAAAAATATTCTGCAGTACATCAAAAACGAAAGAAAACCATTAATCAACATATGAACATTACCTCTGAAGTTACAGCGGTTTTATTAGAGACACAGCTAAGCGTTTTGCATTTTGAAATTTTAAAAAGTTTAAATTTGTTCAGTATTGAACGGCAGAAATTAGGTTTTCTTTTCGGAAGTAAGTAAAAGAGAAAAAAAAGCGGCCGACAGCGCTGTAAACAACGGTAGACTTGTGCATAACAAGCAAGCGAATAATGCAGAAAACAGATTTTTAGACGGGAAACTGTTCTTGAAGTACAGAGAGGAGAGAGAGAGCGAGCTGCGCATAGTGGTGGAAGCAAAACAGTAAAAGTCAGAGTGAATTCATGACGATGTTTATGTGAAGCGTAGTTTGGATCTTCTTTTGCTGCTGGTTCGGTCAATATTGTTTGGAGAGAGATAAAACTAACAGCTTTATGATCAGTGCAAAAAGGGCGTGAACACAAAGCGCAGACCCGCCCACAGATCAGAATCAGCGAGCTGTCGGCTTTCAGCCCCGACTGTGAGAAAGGCGACATCTAACTGATTCTGATCCGCGGGTCGCGCTGTGTGTTTAAGTCTTTGTGCAGAATCCGTGTTCCTGCTCTCATTTACTGTCTTAGCTGTTTGGTGGTTGTTGAAATTTTGTGAGATTTCACCAGAGATTCTGGCATTTCGGGCAAAATAAATTTATATTAAAAAATCGATTCAGGATTTTAATGAATCGATTTTACGTTATCCAAGCCCGAATTGATTTTAATCTATAAATCGATTATAAAAACCCACCCCTACTGCGAAGACAAAACTAACTGGCTGTTTTACCCAGGAGAAAATTTCAATACTGTTTGTGTTTCTTTCAGTATATACAAGAAAGCCGGCTTGGGGAAAGAAAAGAGAGAAGTAACATACGTTGTGAGCAAAAAGGGCGCTGGGAAGAAGGTGAGACGGCCTCCTGGTGTCAAAGGAGTCTTCAAGGTGGTGGACGGGCGCATGAAGAAAGATTTGCGGGGAATGCAGAGAAAAGAACAACGCGCTAAAGGAGGCAAAGGAAAGCACGGAAAGGGACGACAGGCTAAGGCTGGCAAAGGAGGGGTGAAGAGTGGTAAAGGGCGAAAATGAAAATGCATTTGAGTTTCTGCTTGTCGTTATTATTATTCAACTCCCTGGACTCGTGTTATAACTGAGCATTTGTGGAGCTTGGTGAACTACGATGGTTCAGTTTTGGCTCCTGTATCACAGACAAAATAAACATGAGTCTCTGTTTTGGAACCTTTGCTGGATTTCTTAAAGCCCTGGAGACCTCAGACATGTCTGGGAGATATGACATCCAGGTTTTATGTATACGTCTCTGTGAAGATGTAGCTGATTTGCCTTGAACCCCCTGGAAGGAAGAGGATTCACTGAACAGCTTAACTGTAAAATGCAGTAAAAGTTTATTGATAAATGTTTCTCGTGTAAATTCCAATCTTTGCAATAAAGTTTTTGTTCAGATTGGTTGTTCAAGCATTTTACAAAAAAACCTTTTCATCCTTTGTCTAATGCAGCCACAGCTATAAAAGTGCAAAAACATCTGTCTTAGACTGCACAGGCCAAGCAGGAAGCGAACTCAACCTGATGAATACAGTCAGGGGAGTTCACCGCCACAAGTCGTAAAAGACTCCAGCACAGTGGAATGGCGACCTAAGTGCTATCCGTAATCAAATGGTAGCTGTCACTCTGATTGGGATATATACATTAGCGTCTTATGCCCTGGCATGTCTCATAATTCACGAAAAAGAGCAGCGTAACAGCTCCAACTATGACCTCGACCATGTCCATCGCAAACAACTGCACCAGCAAACCACTCTGACTAACCGCACCCCGCCCCTCTGCTCAGTGTCCTCGGTCATGCTGGATGCTGGAGAAACACTAACACTGCTGTGACCTAAATAAATACTACATTTTTAAAATTTCTATTACCAAATTGTGTGCATCAATGCAAGTGTAAGAAAGCAAATCTGCTCAAGCACTTATTAGGATTTCTAGTACCTGATACTTTATCTGTATTTCAGTTTGTGTAATTGTAAAAAATGCTCCTGTATGTTTACTTATGAAGTTGCATGTGTGGTTGAGCTGATTTTTAATATCAATACTACGGCTTTACCAAAATGGACTGTTTTTTTTTTCTTCCCAAAACTACATTACCCATGAGCCTTCAAACTTAAATTGCGTCACGCGGTTGTACAGTAAAGCGGTTCCTTTTGCGGAAAGGTCTGTTATGTTGTTTTGTTCAGTATAGACGGTTTAGTTTTAATATGTGACCCACGCCTCAACCTGTCATATTACCTTAAACGTCACGTTTTATTCAGTGAGTCTAAAGTTGCTTTAAAAATTAGCTTTAAACTTAGCTAACGTTGCTAAAGTTGTGCACACCTGTGCTTGCTTTCACTGTCAAGGATCTAACTCTGGTTAGGAGCCTGTCTTCTCCCGGCCAGGATGTTCTTTATTGCTTTGGTGTGGAGCCTGTCGCTCACTGCCGTGGGCCAGCAGGAGGACAACGAGTGGCTCGACCCTTACGATATGCTCAACTACGATGCTAGCACCAAAACGATGAGGAAGCCTACTGAGGTTGGGAGATTGTTTACTCTGACCCAGCTACATTTGACACGGTTCTGATCACTGTGAAGACGTTGTGTTGTCCAGCTCTGACATTAAGAGTGTGTATTTGCATCGCAGCCAGCAAGCTATGACAACGTGGGCACTAAAAGAAGAGAGTACAATCAGGACTCTAGCCAGACCGAGCTGACGTCCTGCAAAGAGCAAGTGGAGGACCTACAGAAACAGGTTGGTGTTTTGAATAATAAATCAGGCACAATGCATATTCATATTTTCAAAATATAAGTTTTCCCCCATTCAAATTGAATGAGTTAATTGAAGGTGTAGAACTGAAAAACAATTTCCAATTTGTCTAACAGTATTTAGGCTCCAGGCTTATTACTTTCTTCTCATTGTTAGCACAATTGTTGACACGTTCCTGAGTCAAGCTCTGTGTTCAAGCTTAGAAAACAATTTCATGTACCTTTTTAAACAGAATTGTGTGGAAGGTTTAAGGAGTCTGGAAAGTTTTTTTCTGAGGGACTTTTGAAATGTAGCCTCTAAAAAGAAAGTAAAGTATGATCTGAGGATCAGGAATAGGACTAGCCGCACTCTAAGCCTCTCACTTTCTATTAACTAGAGTCAGACTTACAGATACTGGACCATCAAGAGTATCAGGACATTACCATAGTAAAAGTCAGGCTGTTACTATGGTGTCATCACATAGTTAGCCTATCGCATTCAATCACATTTTATGTACACATGTGCACTCGCTGTGCATGTTTTCTTAGGTACACCTTGTTAGTCCTGTGTTGGAGCCTCTTTTGCATTCAGAGCTGTCTTATGTTCAACAAGGTTCTGGAAACATTTCAGTTCCACCACATCCCAAAGGTGCTCTACTGGCTCGAGATCATCACTGAATGTACAAGAAACCAATTATACATGATTTGAGTTTTGTTACTACTTCTAGAACAGCCATCAGTGGGTCAGCAACAAGACTCGGGTAGGCTGAGATGTTTAAATTATGGCGAAGTGTGCCAAGAAGATATCCTTCATATCGTTACACCACCTTCCTTCATTCAGAATGAAGATCAAAAGAAGACGATCAAGCTCATCTCACAACAGCCAACATGCAGTCCAGTGTTCAAGCGATTTCTGAGCAGACTGTTGAAGGAAATACAAAGAGTGGGTGTGGTAGGTGGTCATCTCATGTTTTATGGTGAATTATGAGATTTTAGTTGAACATATTGTGCCATAATTTTTCTCTGGTTCAATAATTGGCCAAGTGTCATAAATATTGCAATTTTAAGACACTTGCTCTAATTTCTCCCCAGCCCAGTGACTCCACAGATGTCTTCTTTGATGCCAAAGTCAAACTGTCCAAACAAGCCATGACAGAGATCCAGACACTTCTGGAGGGTGAAGACAGATGGAGAACAGGCGCTCTGGACAACGCCATCAGTCAGATACTCGTGGACCTTAAACCGCATGATTATGAGGCCTGGAAGTGGCGATTTGAAGACACCTTTGGGGTGGAGTTGGACACAGTATTAAAAGTAAGTTTTTAGTAGCTTTTACCTCTGGCTTCCTTCTATTCTGACTCTTCTTAATGCTTCTACTGTGCTTTAATGGTTTCTATTTTCTGTAACCACTCAAACTGTACTCTGCTCTCTCCTCCAGATCGGGTCATTTATCCTGATTATAGTAGCCATTATCAGCACCGAACTGTGGACAACGATCTCCTGGTTTGTGCAGTTCCGACGACTGTTTGCCGTCTGCTTCTTCGTTAGTATTATCTGGAACTGGTTCTACCTGTACAAGGTAAATAGGAGCTCCTGCAGCTTTCAGTGGTTTCAGTTTAGCTGTATTTCAGTGCTTTGATTGTAAAATACAATGTTTTTAATAAATATGTATATTTTGTTCAGATTGCCTTTGCTGAGCATCAAAATAATATAGTGAAGATGGAAGGCTTTAATGCAAAATGCACTGGGGTGAAGAAAATTGACTGGAGTGACAGTTTGAAAGGTATGCAATCACCAAGCACGAACAGTCACGGCATTCTGTGAAAACCTCTTGCATCTAAAATATTAACTGGCTGAGAAAAACATTCCTTTTTAGAGCGTATTAAATATCATTTTGAAATACGTTTCACTGCACAGCCATGAGATGGAGAGGAATTTAAGTCCTTGTGGAGTCATTGTGCAAACTCTGAAGTCTCAGCTGCTTTAACAGTTTTAGACTCCAGCATTGCTGTTTTGCATATATTAAGCGTATTTGGCTCATAACGTCTGCCTAAGCTTGGACCTGTATTTGGTATCCTGCAGAGTGGTTTAGAAGCACCTGGACTCTTCAAGATGACCCTTGTAAGAGATACTATGAAGTTCTCATGGTTAATCCCATCCTGTTGGTACCTCCAACCAAGGTAGGCCACTCTTTGGAATGTCTGTTAAGGGTTATTGAGGTTTTGCAGACACATCACCACTAAACACATGGTTTTAATTTGGCTGCCATTTTGGACATGTGACAAATATGTTGACAGCGTAGAAGTGAGCGAGCAAGTTGCCAGTCACACACTGCCCACGACCATACGACAACCTCCAGTTGTGAAGTAAAAAGTACAAATTTTGAAATTGCATTTTGAAACTTCTTGGCTGCAGCACTGAAGCACAACTTTTGCTTCCATGTCCAGTTTGTGTCACACTTTTTCAAGTTGTGCAACTGCTCGGCTATTATTTGGCAAGTTGTTGCAGACAGAACGTGAAAAAAAACAGCCACTGTGGCAAAAACCAAAGTTGTCACCAGGAGGATTTTGGTACAGCACCTTCTTTACACCGATTTTACCCAGCAACCAGTCTACCTTGTTCTAACTGCTATATATTTTTACCATGCCAAACTGTGTTCCTTGGTATGCGCTTGGACTTTGTTATGACCTAGACATCCTTCCCTTTTTAGGCAATCTCAGTTACCATTACAGACCTTCATCACAGAGCCACTGAAGACTTCGGTCAGGGATATCAGTGAATTTCTTCGAGCGCTCCTCAAAGATCTTACCGGTTACCCTGCAGATCCCAGTCCTGCTCACTACGTGATCGCCGTATGTGGTAAAATGTCCCCTTTTTCACATTAATTCACATTATGGAGCTTGCGTTGTATACACAGCATTATTTGCATTAATAAAGCAATACATTGTATGTCTTTGCTTTGTATAAATAAATATATGTTTGACTCTTCTACAGGTGTTCATGTATGGAAGTGTGCAAGCAGCCTTCCAGCATGGCATCATGGCACCTCTACGCCGCCCTCGAAGGGATCCACCACCACCAGAGCTGGAACAACCGCAAGCTCAACCTCGCCTCAGGATTGAGGACCGCAATCATTTTGCAGGAGGGGATGCACCTCAACAGCAACATGCCCTAAGGTACAGAGCTGATGACGCCAGATTAAACAGGAATGACTTGCATCAGAGGAGACCCAACAGGCAGAGGGTCGAGACTCTAGGAACTGCTGAGGATGAGCCGGACGCTGAGCGGGCCAAGGAAGTTCCTGAGGCAGACCAGAATCCGTCTGTTGAGCCAGATTCAGAAAACCAGCGGGGAGCAGAAGAACGGCCACCAGCAGCAAAGGATAACAGCGTTGGTCAAAACAAAGCCAAATCGGAGCCAAAAGCTGCTCGGTCAGATTCGTCTGAGTCGAAGAATAAAACTTCAAAAGGGAATGAGAACCTTTCTCAAGATCAACCAGACAGAGATGTTGCAGTGCTCAGACCTGAGCTCCCAGACGTGCAGCCTGTCGATGTGGTGGGCCCCCAAAACTTTACTTATTTTTTCTTACCTTTTCTTTTTTTTTTTTTTTATTTACACGTCTAAACCGTCTGGTTTGATTTCATTAGAATAATTTATTTATTTATTTTTTTAGATTTTTGTTTATATTCATTAGGGCTGCCACAAACAATTATTTTGATAGTCGACTAGTCACCGATTATTTTTGCGATTAGTCAACTAATCAGATCATGCATCCATTGGACGTAAAACGTACAGCTTATTGCACCAGCAGCATCTGTCTACTATCATTAGCTTACAGCTTTAAGTGTTTCAGGTATGTGCTAACTAAAAATAAAGAGCAAGATGATAGTTTATTAAATTTTAATGAAATTTGAGATTGTTTCGGTGGAGTTTAATAAACTCACCGCACTATATTCTCGAGCATCTCACACTTCTGATAATCAGCTGTCTGCTTGACGTTTATTCAGCTGTGTAAAAACTATAACTTTAATTCTCAGCCAAACCGATTTACTCAGGAACAAATAAAATACTGAAAAAAGCCAAACGAATAACATTTTTAAGTTATCAAGTGACTCATATATCATGTTTAACCTGAGTAGCAGAAAGTCGGCGGTGGGTTTGAAAACGAATTTGCCGGGAGTCCGGTGTTCTCACGGCGCTAGTGACCTAGCCCCCGGCTAGCTATCGAGCTAGTGGGTAACAGACGTCTCCGAAAACGTCGGAGTGCTTTTGAAAATATGTGGTGTCTTGATAAACTGAGCAGATATTTGAGGTTTACACAGCTACATTCTCGCCTGAAAATATGTTAAACGTTTATTTTGTGACCCAGAAAGAATAATAAGAGTAATATTAAAACTAACGTGGCCTATTTTTTTTTTTTTTTTTTTTTGCCTGTCCCGTTTGGCTCTTTTGCCATCAGAATTAGTTGTCTAAAGGCAAAGAAAGATGCCCAACGGATTTACTTTACCAAATTGACCATCCCAGCCTTGCCGTAATGGTCCATTTGATTCACCTTTTATTGTTTATTTTATTTTCACTTCTGAATACGGGACAGACTTGACTGGGGGAAAGAAGGGGAGAAGAAAGGAAAGAGAAACAGCTGAGAAGAGGGACGGGGGAGAAGGGCAAAAAACCAAAAACCAACAGAAGTGAGCAGAAAAAGAAAAGAAAAAAATGCATATATCAGTCACCTGGATCACCTGCTGAGAAAGAAAAAAGAAAACAAGCAGAAGAGAACAAGAGTAATAGAATAAACAACATCACAATGATATATGGGAATATGACAGTAAATACTAAATATTAAACATTATTGTGCAGCACATAAGATCAACAGAACACAGTGTGCTTTGAGGTAGGAGCCAAAAAGGGTGTAGTTTGTGGTGTGATCACCCGTGTGTACACCTGTGAGCATGGACGCGCTTGTTTTTTTTAAAAGGTTCCTTCATGTAATGATCTGCTAGAGGGTGTGGGGGGGCCACAGCCCCGTCCTCCAGGGCATGAAGCAGGTATGGAGGAGATCAAAACTCCAGACATCCAGAGGCCCCCAGAACACAAGAGACCAAGGAAGACCAACAGAGGGGCAGCCGTGCCACTGTCCCAGAAAGAGCTGAGGAGAGTCCCAGATGAGGGCTCACTCAGCAGCCGCGGAGCAGAAGCCAGGGGGAGTTGCAGTGACGCGCCCGTGAGCTCCGCCGGCAGCCAGCCGTGCCTGAGTGACCGAGCCCCAGGCCGAGAGGCCGGGGGCACCCCACCTCCGAAGTGGCCCGAGCGAGCCCCAGGCTCCAGGCCCCGATAAGCGGCCGCCAAGGAGTGAGCCGGTGTGTACCTGGACGCCCATCCCCAGACACAAAGAACCACCAACGCACCGATGTCTGAGGGAGTCCGCCACTGGCAGGGGAAGTGGTGGTGGGGGGAGATAGGCCTCCAAACCTTGGAGGGCCTGAGATGTCCCCAGAGAGGTGGCGTCTGATACCCAACCTGACATATAGACACAGACATACAGGCACACACAGACACAAACATCCATTCCCACCCTCATGCTCTCATATGCACTTACTCCACACTCAACCAACGTGGAGACAGACATAAAGAGACGCTGTACACACGATCACACTCCCCAAGCGTACTCTACGAACCGGGTCTAGGTACCCTTGCCCCTGGAGGGGGGAACTGCACCCAGACCCAGGTGGTGTTACCCTTTTCCCTGCGGTGGGGAGAGGCAGACCGCCCCGACTCCGCAGCAGCAGGGAGGCCCCACACTCCAGACCGCAGTCGGACGGCCAACTCCTCCTCCTAGCCCCCCCGCTCCAGCAGGCCGCAGAGAACGGGGGTGAGAGAAGACTCCAAACCTCCCTCCACCCGCTCATTGTAGTGTTGATGCATGTGTGTTCTAAGGTGCATTTAAAACCCAGGAGGGCATGGAGCTACCTGCCAGAGAGCAGCAGGTAAGCGCATGGTCCCTCCTGCTAGCCCTCAATGTCTACGTGTATTTAAAATTGAGAGGTGGGCAACGACGCCAGGGGTGAGGTGTACACCCTGATGGTAATTTGGATCCGTGTATCGTGCCCACCCCCAAGATCCTATATGTATGTGTAATGAGAGTGTGAGTAATGTGAATGTCTAAGTTGTGGGAT